AATAATTACCTACGCGTCACGGCAAAAAAAAGAATGATGTGATAGCGGTATCATATTATTATATAAGCGTATACCTGCTTAAGCGAGTACTTTGGATGCGACTCTCGTGCGTGAACGTTGGCAGGAATTCTTTCTCCGTATAATATAATGCGGTGCAAATAACACCGGCGCCGGAAGGGGTGTCGCGGGCGGAAGGGTGGCCGGGTGAAAGAAGATAGATAACACGACTCCCGGAACACAACGGGCTCCTTGAATATTTCGAATGCAATCCGGTAGTTTATCATTTCTAGGAGGGGACGGGTGTGGCATATAGATGATAAAAAAAAAAAAGTAAAATAAAAAATTGGTGGAGGCGCCCCGGTTTTTCTCCGCTGCATTGTCGGGGATGGGCGAATAAATCTCCAGGATCAAAAACGCGCTTGCGCGGCCCGGCGACGACCCGAACGTGATAAAGTGCCCCGAAGGCTTTTATTTTATCTTAAATTTCTCGAGACGCAGTTTCTCTCTTTCCTTGCGCGTATAATATATATATATATATATATACACACACATACACACACACACACCAGCTAGTGGTGGTATATATATATACACGCTGCAGCACGTCCGCTCTTGTCCTCTGCCCGTCTCTCTCGATCTACCACCCCCTCGCGCGTCGTCCCGTCCATCTATCTTTTACTCGAATTCTTTCTATCTCTGTGTTTATTTATAATACACGACGGCTGCAGCAGCGGCGAGAGGACTATAGGGGTAAAAATGGCTCTACCCGTTTGTCTGGGCTGTCTGGTACTGGCTGGCCACCGGTTTTTATATTGTTTTATTGCCCCCCGATACTGTAACGATCCCTTTGGTCCTCTTCGTAGGAAAAAAAACAAGTAGGAAAAGAGACGGAAGGGAAAAAAATTATTGCGCACGGACACAGAGTTATGGAGGGCAATTTCGGATGCGTCCGAGTTCCGGTGTAGGACGACCTCTGCGTTCGGGTAACCCTGCAGCTGTATATGGACCTTTTTAGGCTCTCGATTTAATATTTATGTGCTCTGTTGGCAGATTTGTGTTGGTGAATGTCCGTTTTATCCCGAGCCCTATTGTATATATGGTATGTCTTTTACGTGATGAAGTTTATACAAATAATATACCACTGCGAAATTTAATATTTATTTGACAGTATAACTGCACAACGATAGTAAATTTGCGAGTGTCACATTGACAGGTGATTGCTCATATATGTTTCATTTTAAACACATAACTAAAAATATATTATAATACATTATATAATAACATTTTATTGCCATATAAACGATAATATATCTATGTATGGTAGGTAAAATAAATAAAACTAAAAGTAAAAACTATTTTTATCCCAAATATTTATTTTAAAAAAAAAATATATTTTTCTTCAATGCTATGAGTTATTTGTGTGGAAGAACATAAACTATAACATTGAATTTTATTTAATAACATTTTTATTATTAATAGGAATTCGTATAACATTTAATTCAAATCCAAATCCAAATAATCCGTTATTAAAATCGAAAATTTACATTGTAAAAACTTTTAATGGTCTTTTTTAAAAATATTATCTATTTATTATTTGAGGATAACGTTTTTTGGTGATGTCGTTCAATATTTAAATTAAATAATACCAATTATACTCAATACTTATTTACGTATAATATGATGTTTGTGCTATTACACATTTTTATAAACTTAATAAATATATTTACTAACTTTTATCTAATCATCTACTTTAGTTATTTATTACTTTTTTAGGTATGTTAAGCACCCGTTGCCAATGTAATTTTGTACACAAAAATACGCTCTACGGGAATAATGATCCTGCTCTGTAGAATCAACCAAATTTTTATAAATTTTTTTTTAATTAATAGAGGGTAATACAGACCGCATTAAATTTCGTTTTTCAATAATACAATTTTAAGCTTTTTTTTATAAATAATTATATCCTACCATTATTTGAAACAAAATAAAAAATCGTAGTTCGATGCGTACTAAATTAATTAAATTTACTAAATTTGTATTGAATGCTATATTAGTTTTTTTTAAAATGTATGTGATGTAAATTTGAATTTTATGAACACCCTTTTACCTTTTTCATTTCTACTAACTCAAAGTAATTACTTATTACTATTTCAAAAATATTAAAGAATATTATATGTCATACGACCTAAAATACTAAATCACCATACAAATTAAAAACGTAATGAAAAATATTATTCCCGGTAACTATACCTATAAAATTATGGTCTTAATGATGAACTGAAAATATAAAATTAGTGAGGAATATTTGTTATCAAGTTAACTTCAACACAAGTTATGTCTAGTGTGGAACCTAGTCAAACCAATTAGTTCAACCTGGTAATACACAAAGGAAAAAAGTAATTATTATTGTACACACTGTGTAAATTGTAAGCAATTAGCATACATTTAATGTGCTATCAGCCCTTTCAACAATTCTATATGTAGATGATTTTAGTTTTTAAAAGGGTGCCTGGATATCTTTCGATGGATATTGCCCAAATGTCAACTTACTTTTTTATATTTAAATACATCATTTTACAGTCCTGATTATTTTGAATTCTTTGACACCAAAACTGTATTTTTTCATTTTAGTGATATTCACCCTTTTAACAAAACACCGTCGAATGATAATAATATTATTGAATAATTTATATTGGGTTTCATGTAATATGTATTATGTACAATATACATGTATCCAGGACTCCAATCATTGTAAGGAGAATTAATAAATAATATTATGCAAACAACATAGTACATTCAGATATCTAGCTTTTGCTTTTGAAATCTTTAATAATCATTATAAATTAAAGAAGCAGCCAATTGCTTTATCTACCTATAATTTCAATAGTGAGTATTTATTATAAATTCCGTATGCCCTATATATGGATTATAAAACAAACTACTTGAAGATAGTATACTATATAGATATATATATATATATAATATATATAGATATAGTATAGGTATAGGGCTAGTAGGGTACAAATAAATGAGAAAATAATAGATAAAGTTGAAAAAAAATTACTAGGTACCTAAAATAATGGTCATGAAATATATTTTCTATGTACTTATTAGGTACATATATTGTATACTGCAATATGAACATTGTGTAAACGTAAATTGTATATCAGTAACTTAAAAGTGTTATGTTATAATAATAAGAAATTAATATAGATATAATATAGTTGAGTATATGCTCATTTTCTGAAGCAATATTATTATGCCACAAGAATTTTCGTTAACAACCGCAGCAGTACCTAAGATCGCTCAGCATAATTTAAATAATCTATACGGACGTTTCACATTAGACGCATACGAATTACATCGGTGTGTTCCAAATCGTTTTAGACCCACTCTACTGCGGATGGTGCTTGGCATGAATAAATGTACAAAAGTGGTAATAAATTAAGATTTATTTCTCCGAGCCATAAAATATACACTTCGTTTAATCCTGCAGCAGGTATCTCTACGCCACGGCGATTGTATCGATTTTAAAATATTATTTGACTTTCTATGCGGTTTGTATAACGCATTAAAAAGCTCGGATAAAATATCACCATCAATGCCGCGGCGAAAAAAAAACAACGTACGAAATAACTTCTTTTCACGTGAGCACGGCGTTATATTATAATATAACCATGGTTAGGGTGCGGGATTTATTCAGCAGAAGATAAATCACGTGATGCCTATATACTATATATTATAGTGTGCACACTGCATCTAATGCCATCTATATTGTAATAGCACCACGCTGTTAATATGCACGACGAGCATGACCCAAAAGCTAAATCCTAAGAAAATCCATCGGAAACATATTTGATGGGATTAATCGGCGCAGAGGTTCCCAACCTTCTTTGCCTCTCCTATAAAGCACCCGGCTAAAGTATTTTCTGAAAATCAGGAGGCACCCTACATCGTGTATTTATATTTATATTTTACAACTTCGGCTTTCTCTCGCTATATAGGTAGGGGACAGCGGAGTTAGTTGTTACATGGGTAAGTTGTTACAGTAAAGATATTTTGTACTTCCAATTATGGTAAGACAGTGGAGACTGAATGAAAAAATTCTATTATCATTAATTCCACATGTTTTGTATTTATCAGTGTTTAGAGTTAACGACCGTTTTCTAATTTTCCTTATCAAAAGTAAATTTTTTTCATCGTTTTCAGTTTTTATTTGCAACGCTCATACATAAGGTAAGATTAAGTTGTCACTTTATATTTGTTCATTATATAGTAGGTAGGTACTTATAACCAAACACAATTTTATCCAAAAATATTATTATTCCCTCGATGCAAGTTCACAACACCCTAGTTGGAAACCTTAAGACTAATAAAGGATGGTATAGGTATATGTGTTTGTTGTCTCCGTCTTACAAACTTACGTCATACCAATTTTTTGTCCACTATAGACTATAGTTTCAATAGCGTTCTGTCTACATATTATAAGTGTGAAATTACCTATGACCAACATTTTAGGACAGTACATTGTCTGTGCTTGAGCTTCGGCATGATTTTTTTGGATATTTTCATTTTCAAGCAAGATAATATGGGTGTGTGAAATAAAACCAATTAAAAATGCTTTTATCTCGGTTGTAAATTAAAATATCGAATAAAAGTCATCGATTAAGCACGGATAATGTTCTCACCTAAAAGTCTAATAATAAAACATTCACTCTAGTATCAAAACTAATAGCACATTATTGAAAATAGTGAACGAAAATTTGCCATGTCGTAAAGTGTGTAAGTTTAAGACTAATACAACAAATGCATGAGCAGCGTCCTCTCAATGTCGATCATACCTATAACCTAATCCAGCTAAAAAAATGCGTATTATTTCTGCATCTATCGCGAGTAAAATATCGTTATAAAACCGATCGGCAATTTTTTCGCCGTTTTCCCTGGTTCGGTTTTGTATCTATATATAATAATATTACATCGTATATAATATAACATATATCATGTGCGGCGTGTATCTGCGGGATTTTCGGTGGAAATGTAATTATTATTATTTCCCGTTGACGGGCTTTGCCGATAAGAGGATAAAGGTCATTGGGCGTTGCGGCGACAGCGGACACGGGAAGTCGGGAAACAGCGGCGGCGGCGGGGAAGAAAAGAAACCCATAAATAAATACGAGGAAAAAAGCCAAACTGGAATCAAGATGAAGGGCAGAGAGCCGGCGAAACGTGGCCCGGTCCAATATATCAGCGCCTGCAATGCGGGATTTCAAAGCCTAGTTGATTTATATCGCAAAAGTTGAACTTTTCGAACAGGACTTTCGATATATCTTCCGGGGCTTTTTTTTTATGTTTTTCGCTCTGTTCGGTTACGATACGATGCTTATTTATATAATATATATATATATATTCTATATATTATGTTTATAATAATAATATAACGAGCGCGGCCGATAAAGCCGATGCAGACGCGACACGCACGCGCATACTGTGCAGTTATATACTTATATTAGAAATAATATATTGTCGTAATTGTATACACAGATGCTGCATCTGCTAAATATTAGATGAGTGTCCACTGAATTTTAGAACGTATTTTAAAAAACACGATATCATACGTCATTAGTGTGGTGTTGTCGTGTGACTTGTAGTCGAAAAAAAACAGTAAAATATCGTCTATTAATATTTGTATAGGTACGCGCGATCTGGAATCACATGGTTATGTATTATTATTAGAATATTAGAATAAGGATTGATTTGCAATTTAATTTTTTTTCGATCTATCACAAGCATTATACTATAATACCGAAGAAAATATTAAACTAAAATATTACTCGAGTAGGTATTAAAATCGTTTTTATGTGGAGTCTATACCCCTGTTGCAAGTTCGTTTTTGCTACATTGTTTCTATACAATATAGAAGTACCTAGCAGTGGCGTAGGGCATATGGGACGATAAATGCATGGAAATTCACATGATTGCTGAAAAGGGGGGGGGGAGGTCGAAAAAAGAAAACGACATATCTAAATGGGAGGAGAAAATTGGAAAATCCCCTCTCAAAAATGTTTACTTAGTTAGTAAAATATTTAACCATAAGGAGCAATAAACACAATTTGAATTGATTCAAAATTCAGGTCAAACACAATATGGAAAAGTGATCCACTCCAAATCCAATGGAAGAGGTTCTCACCCCCACGTCACCCTTTATTTACGCCACTGGTACCTATGGATGCTGAAATGGTTTAAATATTTACAAGCTTACAAATAATTACAACTACGAAAACTAGTCTGGTACTAAGCTGGTATAAGTTTTAAACTTTGAAAAATCGCAAAACAATAAATACATTATTATTACCACAAAATAATAATTTAAATTTTTTAAAAATGGAAACAGCTGACTGGCTACAGAAATTATCATAATTATTCATAATCGACCTACTATATGCAATATGCATGTATTGAGAAAAAATATACAAACATTTACACCTATAGGTTAGGTAAAACAATATAACTGCAAAGTAAAAATATGTTTTATGGTAATTTATTTTAGCTTTAATGTAATCTCAAATTAAAGTTAATATACGAGTACGAAAATCTACCATCTATTCGAATAGATTAATTACATACAATTTAATACGGAGTAAGTCCAAACATAAAATATATTGGTTGTTTAATAAACCTCGTTGCTCGTGGTATGTACTGTTAGACAATGCACTTCATTATGTATACCGTGTAGATTCTGAATACCTTATGGCTATACTTGGTCAATAAAGTGATTTTCAGATTATACTTTTTTACAAAAATAATGGTCCAAAAAACTATTGTGTTGACATTCTTAAAGAAGTAAAAAAATGTATTTCCTGTGTCACGCGTCGCATTGAGCACGTCGCTATAATCTAGACGAAGCGTATTTTTTTTGTTGATAATATGATGTAAACATTAAACTTTAAATTTCAAGTTATTAAAAGGCGACAATGATTATTCTAATATACTATGATATACCTGCAAGTATTTTGACTGGGCAAACATATAAAATTATGACAAACATAGGTCATTCGATCCAATAGGTATAATATAAAACGTGTACAAATCTCTGCATCGCATGATATGCGTACAATAATAATATATGTATTTATACTTTTTTCAAACGAGTTTGAAATTATATCGTCAAAATCGGAATCGCTTTGGTTGGGATTATACGAATTCACCAATTCAAATAGTAATTTTTCATATTTTTCGATTGGAATAAACCGAAATAGTAATATTCATACACGTGTTAAGCCGACCACCGTGATTAATCGAGTTGGATTCAACTATTCTTGTGGTCTTAATTTCGGCCGTTTGTGATAATAAATCATAACGGCCGTGTAACTTGTTCAACACTTGTGTCCCTTGCGTCCATCGTCTTTCACACACGGCGGACTATTATAATTCACTCTAAATCGTTACTATTTTAGAATATTAAATATCATCTAATTAGAAACTGGTTTTTTTTTTATTATTATTATTAATGGCGACTGACCTCGGTTACACTATTATAGCCTCACTCATCATATAGGTACACTGCAGGCACACAATAATATATATATATATTGTTAGGTCATCGGAGGGGTTCAACGTTTATAGCTGATTTGAGATTGTAGATAGATATCTACACAGATATTATAGGAAAAAGGTGAAATATTTTTGGCACTACTATACGATATTTGTTCTATTGGACACATTTGGTCGGTCAGTGTGTGCAAGTTGGCCTACTATACAGTATAACATACAATTTGTCCTGGAAGCCAGTTGAAATGTGAAAACCCGTAATTTTAAAATGAATAATTCATTAAAAGTATAAGCAACCGACCGAAAACAAAACACGGAGATGCACCATCAATAAAATTTCAAATGCGCCACTCCGATGAACCGTAAACTATGTCGTACAATGTACACCGATAAAATTAATGCGTGATTCGAAAATGTTTTCGACGGGACAGCATAATCGGAAAACTACAAATGGATGTATACAAGTATAAAATTGTTCAAAGATATTGAATTATTATAAATATGTGTTACACAATTTCAATATTAAAATATATTTAGTAAATTTTTCAATAAATAATCTTTAAAACGTCATAATACCGAAAACGTTTTTTTTATTTACCAATTATCAAACAATACAATATAAAAATTTAAAATAATACTTATATTATATACTTTTACATTTTTCTTTAGGGGATCTTAAATACATAATACGTAAATTCATTGATTCGTTGGTAAAAAAACTAAAAACGATAGATGTTTTTACCAACAATGTTTAATGTATATCAATAGTTTTCTATTATAAAATAAAATTATTTCAACTGATTAAAACACCCAATTAACAATTTGATATAATTGAAAATTTGAATTTGTATGATGGAAATTTGATATATTGTAAATTTTTAAAAATTGGAAAGTACCTAGATACTTTGAATTTATGACTAACATATTAAACAACAAAAGTTACTCTTCCGAAATCAGTACTAAATCAAAACTGAAAAAATATCTGAAATATTGTGAAATTATAAAAATTAATTTTAAATTATTTGGAAATTTTAAGAACTAATAACTAATTATTAAAATATAATATAATATAGTATATACTGTAACGAACATGCACGGTACACCAGAACCGACACTGAACCTTAAAATTGTTACTCGGGTGAATTTAATTAGGCAATTTGGCTTCTCACAACATATTATTTACCACGTTGTAAATAATATTACTGTCGAGAGACCACCATAATATATTTCACGTCTACTTAATTTCTTAATATTGTTAAGCAATATTAACGAAGCTAAGTAGTTGGCAAAAAAAAAAAAAAAAAAAATGTTTGTTGATTTCTTAACGATAGATTTTATAGATATACAACGTAAATTTTAATAGTTTTGCATTTTAGCTGAATAAATATATTTCAATGAGTGAACAACAAAAGTATTAATTCAGCACAATTTCATTCATGGGCATATATTATTATAATACTATAGTAAGGATATATATATAGTATATACATTAGCACACATATTATAACACACCATAGCGTTACTACAACCGTCAATGAATAACGTATGTTATAGTTATCATTTGTAAATTGTAATTTAATCTTTAACATATATCATTTTTAATCTGATATATTTTTACTATATTATAATTAATCATTTTGTTTTAAGTTATATAATTTAATAATTTGTAAAATGTTCGCAATAGTTCCTGTTATACTAGGATTAAGCGTGATAATACCTGATACGTTGCAAATGGAAGAGACAATTATCGACAATTACCAAGGACGTGGATCGGGTATTTATTATGAACCAATTTATAAAATGAGAGTATATTCGAGTGAATTTAACTTACTAACACATGTAAATATTTCCGTTTTTGTCGAGAAATTTGATGAAATAAATAATTTAATGAACCACAATGATAAATTGTGCTCAGTCAACAAACATAATGTTTCAAATATATGCAGTAACTTTAATTCAACGTTAAAAATAACAAAAACGGAATTATTGAAACGATATACAACACTTATGTCTTTACAGGATGGGGTAAGAATAAAGAGGGGTTTAATAAATGTAATAGGAGAATTTGAAAACTGGGCTTTCGGCGTTGTGGGAGACAACGGCTATCAACAAATACAACAAGAATTAAATACGAATAAAAATAATAATAGAAAAACTTTAGTTACTATGAAGTCGCAAGTAAAATTAGTGCAATCATCGTTAAATCAGATATCGAATGTATCATCAAAAATTTCACAAAATTTCATAAAACTACAACGAGAATATAACGATTTGGTAGATACAATTAATATTAGGAAAAATGACCTAATAGAACTTCAAGTAAATCAGCAATTAATTAATTACTTAACAAATTTTAATTTCATTTTGACAAGTTTTTCCCTAGAAATAGAAGAATTATTAGATGCTTTACTACTAGCACATCAAAATACACTACACCCACTAGTTCTTAATAGTATTCAGTTAAAAACTATTTTGGAAAATATACAGCGAGAGTTACCCGTAAATCAAGTTTTACCAATAAATATTGACTCTAATTCATCACTGGAAGGTTTTATGAAACTGACAAAAGTGACTACTAAATTTTCAAATTTTCAATTAATTTTTATTATAAATTTTCCTATATGTACTCCAGATATTTATACTTTATTTCAGATATGGCCTATGCCAATAGAGCTAACAAATTTACAATTTATGTTTATTCAACCCAATAATCCATATCTAGCAATTTCATCTGATAACCAACATTTCATAT